TCAACCCCATGCTTCACATTCTCAAATTAAGCTATTTCGACAGTTCGGGATCTGGACATTGATCCAACCAATAGCTGAGCTGTGGGGAAATACACAAGGTCAATCCCAAACTGTCGAAATAGCTTAATTTGAGAATGTGAAGCATGGGGTTGATAACACTGGACTGACTGCCTCTCACTGAGGGAGATCACTCTGTTGCTGACCAATTAGTGACATTTGACGACTAGTTGATGTTGGATAAAATCAGTCCTAATCCACACTGAGGAGAGGCCAGGGGTTTGGTGCCCAATGGTAGGCATGACTAGCACACAGCACTTGTGGGGGTGGCATTCTGTGTTCACATCCCTCTGTTATCTTGTATGGCACAAGCATTTTGCTAAATGGGTTAGAGTTCAAACTGGAGATTAGGTTAGAGATCTAGCCACTCAAAATCGAGCACTGATGAGACACTGTGGGCCATAAGCAACAGCAAAGTTATAATCCAACACAACCTGCAACCTCATGGCCTGGCATATCCCTTACTCTAACATTAACATCAAACAAAGTGATCAAGAGAGATAGCAAGAACTGCAGATCCTGTGTCAGAGACTACACTGTATAGAGCTGGAGGAATACAGCAGGCCAGGCATCATCAGAGGAACAGGAAAGTTGACGTTTCAGGTCGGGACCCTTCTTCAGAAATGGGGAGGGGAATGGGAGCTCAGAAATACATAGAGAGAGGAGGGGTGGGTCTGGGGAATGTGGGTGGGATGGTGATAGGTGAGTGCAGGTAGGGAGTGGTGAGGATTGGTCAGTGGGATGGGAGGGGCAGATAGGTGGGAGAGAAGATGGACAGGTTGTGCCAGGTCAAGGAGGCGGGGATGAGAGGGAGATTTGAAGCTGGTAAAAATCCACGTTTAGGCCATTGGGCTGTAGGCTCCCAAGGTGGAATATGAGGTACTGCTTTTCTAGTTTGCGGGTGGCATCATTGTGACACTGGAGGAGGCCAGGATGGACATTACACCCAGGGAGTGGCAGGGGGAGTTAAAATGGTTCGTGACCGGAAGGTGTTGTCGTTTGTCATGAAGAGAGCACAGATGCTCTAGAAAATAGTGTCCAAGCTATTGCTTGGTCTCACTGATGTAGGGAGGTCATGTCAGGAGCAGCGGATGCAGTGGGCCACAATGACGGATGTTCAGGTGGACCCCTGTCTAATGTGGAAGGCTCTGTTCGTGACAAACGATAACACCTTCCAGTCTCTGTCATTCCCTGGGTGACATGTCCACCCTGGGCCTCCTCCAGTGTCACAATGAAGCCACCTGCAAACTGGAGTAGCAACACCTCATATTCCGCCTTGGGAGCCTACAGCCCTATGGCCTAGACGTG